TTACAATACTAGATCTCAATTAGCACAAGCAGAAAATGCATCTATATACAAAGATTCTGAAGAAAAGTCAGCTCATAAAAAGGAAATTGAGTTATATAAAAATATGGCGATACATTATGAAAAAAGATTAATGGACATTGAAATGATAAAACAAATTGCTGGCGATTCGGCTAAGAAAGTTTTGGAACTTGAAAGTTCATTGAATACATCTAAAAAACAAATGGAAAAATTAAAAAAGCAATTGAAAAAGGAGGAAGAACGAAAAAGAGCATTAGAAGAAGAATTGGCAGAAGATCAGAAAAAGATTCGTGAATTGGAAGAGAAATATAATCTAACTGCGTCCAAGTTAAAAGAAATGCAATCAGAAAGTGAAGATGAAAAGAATAATACTAAATTAAAAACTGATTGTTCTGAGAAGAAGAAAAATTTACAAGATGTAAGTGCTAGAATATCTCATCTTGATCATGTCTTAAAAGAAAAATCAATGGATCTGGAGAGAACAGCAGATACGGATGAGAAGGAAGCACTTCGTCATGAAATTCGAAATTTAAGACGTACGAGAGATTGCCTAGTTGATGAGAAATGTGATCTGGATGAAAAATTTCAAAAAGAAAAGACTTTAAGTACAGTCGAAGAACGACAACTGTTAGAATGTGGAGAAACAATCGAAGCGATCGATGCTATGATAGAGCATAAAAATGAAATGATCTGTGGACGAAAAGGTTTCGATGAAAATCAATCTCAGCGTGAAAAGGGGGAACGTATGTTGATGGAACGATTGGCGAAACTTTCTGATGGTGAAATGAGAACGTTGTTTTATAAATATTTTCTTAAGGTGATTGATTTGAAAGAAAGTTCAAAAAATTTGGAAGTCCAAAATGCTGAACTTGAAACTCACGTAGAGGCTCAAGAATGGCGTATACAAACTTTAACTAATGCTTTAAAGCAGACAAAATTAGAAGCCGAAAGGAGAATTGTATTAATGCAAAGAGAGCACGAAGAGAAATTACATTTAATGTTTAGGCATATTGCGGAGGAAACAAGTAGTTCAGGACATGAGAGATTAGATAAGGATTCTGAATTAGCGAAATATAAAAGAGAGAATCGAACTTTAAGAAAACGATTAGCAGATGTTGAAGCTTTGCTTAAAGGTCCAACAGCACCACGTACGGCAAGTCCAGCAAGAATTCCACAACAGGGATTGAAACAAATTGCTGCTGCTGGTCGTCCTATAACCAAAGTAACTAGGCAACGTAATAAACTCATAATACAAAAAACTACTGACTGTGACAAGAGAAAACAGTGAGTTTTATTTAGTTATTTATGTTTTTCTATTTATATAAAAAAGAATTTATTTCCTTTTTGTTATATATTTAACATGAATTTTTTTCTATGAAAATTAATAAAAATTGAGATAAGAAATTAATCCTTTATACTAATATTTGTCTTCTTATAATTAATCATTTATCATCTCGTTTACATGTAGTAATAAGTCATAAATTTTGGCAATGTATTAATATAAAAAAAAACCAAATGTACGCAAAGTAAAGACAAAAATGTGTAAAGGATTAATTCTATTATTCAAATACCATAGCATATATTAGATAAGATTGGCATTTACTTTCTGAACTATATATAATATTGTGAATTAAAATATTAAAGAAAAAAATATATATATTATGTAATCTTCACAAATTAGATGTTTTCCCAGCTAAATATAACTTTCTAAAATATATTGTTCCATCACATTAATATTTGTTTTATTAAAATACATTACATAGGTTCATCATTATTCATTATTAATGTTAAAAACAATTTTATTTTATAAAACTATGTAAAAGATAAGAATTATAAAATTATGCAGCATTGCAATTATTTAATTAGACAAAAATAATTTGAAGATTGTAAAATTTTTTCCAGATTGTAAAATTCTTTTCCGTTAATGTAAAAATGGAGTACTTATATTAAGTCCAACTTGTTAAAAGACATTTCATAATTATGTGTATAATATGAATTAATAATTCAATTATTATTACATAAGGTTTAATAGAAATTCATTATATATAAATATTATATGTAAAGAGTTTAAGTCGAATGCATGTTACGACTTACTGTATGTTTATATTATATAAATAGAATATGCACCGTATACATATACCTGCGGAAATTTAAATCCAAAATTTGTAGAACACAATATGTATAATTCTGTAAGCTATAATAACTTTTGAATCTCATTTATTATAGTATTTATATGAATTTCATATAATTGATTCATTAATTATTTGTTTATATATATGTATATTTAAAATTGTCGTTAAGTGCAGAACATATTTTCTATACCATTGAAAAATACTTTTTATTCCAGAGTGACATAATAACACAAAAGTAAATAATATATAGATTGTGCAGATATAAAAAATAAAAACGAAACATGTTATAAATAGAAAAATGTAATGTTATTTACTACACTACTGTATTTTCATAAATTCTAACCTATTTCAGTTGTTATAATTTATTGTAATTTTTGTAAATAAAAATTCATGTTATATTATAAATTTAATAGAATAATTCTTTCAGAAAAGAAAATTACTATTACTTATAAGTAAATAATGTTTACCTCATTATTTTTTATTTATTAATATGATGTAACTAATATTATAAATATAATTACACGATTTACTCAAAGACCAATACGATCGATTATGAGGTTCGGAATCAATACTTTATGAGGATTGAAAAAAATGTTTTTATGTAATATAAGCTTTATGTTTTTTCTTTTTTTTTCTTTTTTTTCTTTTTTTTCTTTTTTTTTTTTTTTTTTTTTATAATAAAGATTAAATTTATACATATATAGAGATATAATAATATTTAACCGGAAGTGACTACGTGAAATTTACTTAATAGTTTTACAATACGTTTGTATGTAAAAAATACTTTCTATACTATTGAATTTACACATATTGCTTTTTTTATTAATATGTACAATATAAGAACAAAAGTGTGTAAATGTCATTACTGCAACCCTGAAATGGCATTGAATGATGAAAAAATATGTAAACAATAAATTGAATAGTATCTATTGTTATTTTATACATAGTCTCTATATAGAGAATTGCAAATTAAATTAACTGATCGAATTCACTGTTAATCAATAATATTAAATTGATTTCAACAGAGTACCATTTCTGAGTTAATTTAATAATAATACTTTTTATTATTATTAAAATACAAGTATTAATGTAATATTTTATTTCTTTTCTAACATGAACAAGCCACTTTTATTTAAAAATTTCAAAGATTTTAATTATGCAAAAATCCATTATACAACCTACGTATTGGCAATTTCAAATATTATTTCCTCGAATACATACTTGTGTATGTGTCGTGCGCTAGCGTGCGCGTTGTGTGTACACAGCTCTATGGAAAAAATTAAAAAATTTTTTAAATAGTTTAATATATTCGAAACCTTGTTAATAACATTACATTTAATGTGTATTGAAAAATAATGAATACTACATTTTAATTCTTTGAAGTGACTTGTTCATTTCCATAATTTCTTAAACCGGATAAGACTTTTTTTGAAACACTAATTACAAAAATTAATATTTGCTTGGTAAGTATTCTTATATATATTTTTTCTTTCTGATACGATATTTGAACAATTAGAATAAAAATATTTAAAATTGATGGAAATGTATAGAATATTATCAAATAATGATTACACACAGAGTAGTATTTTTATATTAGTAAAATATTAATTTGGATGAAAATTAAATGAATATTTCTAATAGTTTTATAAATTCCATTACACATTGTGCACTGATATTTTGAGAATATAACAAAGATCATTACTAGACTTCACTGGCAAGTTCTTGCAAAGGATAAACAAATAATCGTTGCGATATATTTAAAGTTAAATTAAATGTTTAATATTAAACTAGCAAAAGATAATAATTAAGATGGATTCAAATAACAAGATAATGTACAACGAACAAGATAAGATAGACAGTTGCAATATTCTGCATCGAAAAGAAAAATAGCTAAACACTGTGCTATCTTTAATAATAAACTTATGTAATATACTATAATAACATAAAATAGTGCAATTATACCCTCTGATGTTTTTATCATAAACGACTATAAAACTTTTGAAAGGGACCCTTTAATACACGTACGTACATCATACATCACGACACACATATATGTGTATGTATATATATATATATATATATGTATATATATATGTATATATATATATATGTATATATATATGTATATATATATATGTATATATATATATATATATGTATATATATATGTATATATATATATGTATATATATATATGTATATATATATATATATACATAGTTTTTAATTTATATAATTCCGGACATCTATATATAATGTTGGAATTGAATTAGTAAAAAGATGCAGAAAAATTATATATATATATATATATACATATATGAATCTATACATATGTATAGATAAACAATATCCAAAAATTCAAGGTTATATATATTCTATCTGCTCTTCAAAAACGTGTTGATTTATGTAACCAATTCATTAATATTTTTCTTTTTAACAAAATTCAATAATTTTTATTGAAAATGTTAAATAATATTAATTTCCAAGAAAATTAATAAAAAATTTAACATTTATTTTCTGCATCTTTATCTAAATTTTATAAAGAAGGAAAATAAGTGAATTTTTGCTACTTTTATGGGATTCAACATTTATGTGATATTTTGTTATCAAATCAAAATGTATATGTTTATATATATGCATATATAAACATATATATCACACACACAGTGTATATATATATATACATATATATATGTATATATTTTTTAACATGAACATGTATATATATATATTATGCTTCTAATAAAAAATACAATAATTATTGTAATGATATGTTTTGTAGCAGTAATTATCGTATATTCAAAATATTACAATATAGAAAATGTTGACTCTTATTTGTCTTTTAATCCATTGCAATGAGCATAGTATATGTTTTCTTCTGTGGTCCAATATAGATAATTTCGTGCATGTTGTTTATTGTTTCAATATATATACGATAGACAAAAAAAGTATGATAATTATATGCGAATATTAAAATATATGCATATATAAAATGTAAATATTTAACATTTGCATATACGTAAATGTAACTTATCACTATATGAAATTTTGACTTTTTTACTTACTCTAAGCAAACAAATTTTGAGGCTGAAATTAGTCAAAGTTACATTGTACGTACTAATCGATTTTAATTATGTCTAAAAAATTGATATCGTTTACAATAAATTTATCTAAATAATTACCTTTTTGTAATATTTGCAACATTAATAGAATCGTAAATATTAAGGGATAAAGAAATGTCATTGCAAATGATCAATTTTAGTCATATACTATGTTGTTCCATAAGATTACATATAAATTACTTAAAAAGTCAAGCATATTAAACAATCAGATTTTATCTGATGCATACAATAAAGCAATATATGGCAGAAAAATAAAAGATCAAATTTAGTAATAATGATAATATAAAATATTATTTGCATAAATCATTTTTGTTTTCAATATGTTTCTAAAAGTAATCAACGAGTAGTTTCCATTGTAGACTTCACTGATATTGAGAGAAATAAGAGCAAGGTGCAATATGTGATATAGATGATCTGCTTCTCAAAGATCAGACTTGTCCTGTACAACCACTTCTGAACAATTTCTGGTAAATAAAAATGTAAATATGAAGCAACTTTTATAAACAGATAAACAAATCAATATCGTTTATATAAATTTTATATTATAATAATAAATGTTATAGTAAGAAAAAACTAAGGAGAAACTATAAGATAATAAATGTTTCTACCTTAGATATTTTTCCATGCCTTCATTAAATTTCAGTAATTTCAGTTTAATACAGTATAAATAAATTTGTTTAATTGATCTTCCTTAGCTGTTATTATGTTATAAAAAATACATTAAGAATAGTGAACTATATAGAAAAAATTTAATAAATACTTTATTAAACAGTTAATGCTGTATTATTTTACAAAATATGTTTAAAGAACATTCAATATTAAATGAAACATATAACAAATACACTGAACGGTATGTGTTACGAATCAATAGAAGACAGATATTTATAGACAAGTCTTGTGAAACAAGTTTCAAATACATTTCTTTTGTATATTATAATGTCCATAACAAACTTGCTGGCTAAATTAGTTTTACAGATGTAACTAGTAGATTAGTAACATGAAAAATGCCATAAATAAGGCACTTCGATACCGAAATCGACATAGTAGATGTGACGTAATTAGGCACATTTTTATACCTTATAAGTGGCACGTATTTTTATCTTCAATGAATTTACAAAAAGGTACTATTGTAAGTAATTATATTAATTAAATTCATAACGACATAACTGATGACATTTTCGGGCCCCTTTCATCAATCGTAGACTATGTGTGGGCCAAATTCTTAAAATTACACTACAAAGATTTTCTAAAAATATGCGTCATTTTAAGATAAATAATTTTTCTAAACTCATAATAAAAAATATTATAAGTTTCTGTAGAGTCTGGGATTTTAAACTATAATGTAGTGTAAAATGATATACTTTTTCAGAACTGGGTCACACATCCTCCAATTATCAAACCACATTTGCAATTATCTTATTTCATTATACATTTATTATGTATATGTATATATATATATATACATATAAATGTACCTATATATATATATATATATATATATATATATATATATATGCAATATTTGGGTGTGATAAAATAGATTTGCAAATGTTGTCTGTAAGCACAATGGCAAAGATATTAAAAAAGAAAAGAAAACAACATTAAAGCAATTAGACCACAGAAAAGCGGACCGAATACATTGAGCAATGGTAGCAGAAAAGAGAATGCATGAATCCTTGTATATTGATTACAACCTTCGAAGTGAAGCCATACTGAGGGAGCTGCATTTGGCCTTTCGAGTCGGTTGAACCGACATGGGTGCCACTAGAACATCGTCTCTAGTGGGCGAGTCTGAACCACCATTACCCAGTTCCTGGAAAGATACACGAAGAAGTTTTTCTTTATCGCATTATGTTAAGTCTGGAAGGAAAAACCTTTAAAAGCAAAATTAAGATATATTTCATAGGCAAACATGCATTGAACATACTTAAAAAATTTGCTATTTGAAAAGAAAAAATGAAAAAAGTATTATAGACTGAGGGAAATATATAAAAAAAATATCACACAATTCTATGCACCACACTTTCACAAATACAAGCTTGATCTTATCATGATTAAAATTAAGTATTGCTAGTAACATTGATAATTAATGTTTATAATAATAAATCGAGTATACATATTGAATCTAAATAAAATTAATATAAGGAAGTAATACTTATATATACAATAATATCTTAAACATCAATATATATTCTTAAACAAGTAATCATTTCTAACACAACAATTAAACTTCTATATTGATATATATCTGGGATTCGCAAAGAAAATATATCTGCGCTGATAACTTTCATTAGTGAACGTATATTTAACAAAAATAGAAAAAAAAAATAATCAAAAAAAAAACAAAAATAGATCAATTACATATGTAAAAAAAAATAGATCAATTATATGAAACCTTTTTTTAAGACAACCTTAACAAAAACAAAAAAAAAATCAAATAAAGAAAAACAATAGAGAGAAAAAAAGAAATTAAACTGTTTAACATTTGGTTGAATAATAAGAAAAAGAAAAATTTGCCATAAGTCGTATTTTACAAGGAGAAGACATGCTTGTAGGAACTATATCAATAAACAAAAAATTTATATCGTTTGAAAGATATGTCTAACTATTTATAATAAATGAATAATGGAAGCAATAGCCATCATCTTATCAATTTAAATAGTGACGCGAAGCGTTTTGATCCAGTCGAAACACCCCGAGACATCACATTCCTAGAAACAACATGTTTGTTTTTCAAAGAAAGCATTTAAAAGATTTTTCCCCTCTCTACTCCCTTTCACGAGAGAAGATATTCAATTATGTAAATAGTGAATCATTTAATAAGATTATAAATTTGAATTTATTTAATATATTATACTTACATGATATATATATGATAAATTCATCCCTTGGTTTTGTACAAGCATGAACATATAAACTTTCAGTAATATTAAATGATAATTTCAATAAAGATGATACATGAATAATTAATAAACTCCATTTATATTCGATCGAACAAAGAACGTAGAAATAAAGGCATAAAATAAAGCATTACATTAAATTATCAGTTAAATTAAATTTAGAAAAAACGGAATTATTAGAAACATCTGTTGTCATTTTAAGTAGTATATGTACATCGTACTGAAAAACTTGGTTTTATCTTTTTTCTTTTTCTTCTTTTTTTTTTTTTTTTTTTTTTTTTTTTAAATAAAAAATTAATCTATGTATATATATATGAGAGTAATATTATATTATTATAACACAAATATATATACAACGTTATAATTAATAAAAAGTTTTAAAAGTTATCATGCAATGAATTGTAATTTTCATTTGTTAAGAAAAAAGAAAATTATATTTAAGTATGTATGAAATGCATGCTTCAAAAAAAAAAAAAGAAAAGCATAAGAAGAATAAAAATCTCCTGTCGTGAAATGAAGATGAGCAAGAGAAATACAAGAAAGCAAGAATAATTAAAAAAGAATATATATATATATATACAATAAAAAACATATCAACTAACGTTAATATTGTTGCAACTAGCAAGTCTCATCTGGGCAAGTTGCTGGCTCGCTGGAGTGAGACTATTTGTTGATCCAAAAGGTGACATCATTGTAGACATAGCTCTCTTTAGTTTACTAGGAGTCTTGTTAAAACTAAACGCTCTACCGACTTTCCTCCTTGTACGAGATGCAAACCTGAGAAAAAATATGCTGTGTAAATGTGCTAAATGTATAAAAACGTATATAAGTTATGCAACACTGAAACTTTTCTTCCTCTACACAGTAATTATTTCAAAATATTTATAATATTGTAATATATGAAAATGTAATGTTTATTGAATATCTTACGTAACTGTTTAAACTACAAGAATGATAGAATATTATAAACAATATATTATTTATAATATTGTTTAATAATAAATATTAAGAGGAAGCAAAGTTTCCAACAAACAAGGAGATAATGGCGGTAAAATACAAACTGAAAGGAACCCCAAAAATATGAAATATACCAGTTCAAGTGTAACCACATCGAGTGCAGCTACTACACTACGATCTATGTAATATTGAAATTTTTCATGCAAAGCCAAACAATGATTCATTTACCAATATAATATTTTAATATATCTAATTCATGCCAAATGATAATATAATACAACAATACAAAATTAATTCATGAATATGAAAAATATGTTTACTAACACAATAAATAAAAAATTTTCAAACGCAAGAAAATAGAGAAAATAGATTTCTCTATATAACAAAAAGGGTTAGTCTTCAACCTTTTTATGTACAAATATATAAAAAACTTAATTATTGAAAGAAAAAATGAAAACACAAAACATAATAAATATTAAATAATAATTTACAACTAAAATATGTATAAAAGTACTAAAATTTTGTCAATACTGCAGACGTTTATGCTTGAACTGGTTGAATTGATCTATGAGAATTGAGATTTTTTCCTCTTTTTTCTTTTTTTCTTCGTTTCTTTTTTTTTCTTTATTTATTTTATTTTTTTCTTTTTCTTTTTTTTTCTTTTTTTTTTTTTTTTTTTTGTATTTCTGACTTCAAAGCATGAGAATGATGGACTCTAAAAAGCAAGGGTTTAAGGACCAAAAGCAAGTAAAAAAATGTAATCAGCCTGGTGCGAAAACTGACGGTAGTGGGACATGTAACGTAGTTTCACACATGCTATTGAGTAGGAACACATACGGGTCCATATACTCCAGGTAAAAATTATGAAATAGGCTCCTGCAACCAAACCAGTCGTCGCCCCATTATTTTTTTTTCATTAACATGCAATACAGGAAAAGTTGAACTACTCTTTTTATATTTCAAACAATTCTTCATCGTAAATATATTTTACTTTTATTTTTACTTATTAAAAAAATATGATCAGAAAAATGCATGATAAACAGATCTTTCTTAACAAGTTAATCGATTTCAACATTTCCTTTAAGATTGTATAAAATTTTGTAATAGTATTTATCCCGCCTTATTTATCATATATATAAAATCTACATAAATATTTGATAGTAAAACTAGACTAAACTAAATCTACAAAACTGTAAGCACATGATAATAGTGTAAGGAAACAGTATAACTTTGTCCTAAGAACAAAAATCATAAGTAACAGAGATATTTAGGTGTTTTGATTTAAATACACTATCCTGTATATATATATTAGAAATACAATACTCTGATTAAATAATGGCACGAATTGAAAAATGTGCTAACAGTTATGAGAGGAAACTATCATCTTGACCACACACAAGATGAAGAACTGTAAAACTACAATATATTTTTAAAGAAATATGTGTACTTACTTAAATGCTTTACTTAATGTTCCTAACGCTACATCACTAGTATCAATTTCCAGCTGATGTGAATCAAGACTTATCAGGAACGTATCCTAAAAAGTAAAGAAAGAAAAGATTTTTATTATTATGTATTATTTTATTAATAATTCTAAGTAATATTATTTTGTGTGTAAAATATTCATTAACAATGAACTCCTACACAAATATTTTATTAAAATATATATATAAAAACATACCGCATCAGCCTTGCAAACTGTATTAGCCATCTGTCTGCACAAAGTACGTAAATAGTTTGTTTTGTTTACATCTTCATCAATAATTGTAAACGAAAATAATTTTTCCTTTAACTCCTGGTTACTTCTTACCATAAGTGCAAATACTTTCTGACATTCTGTCAGAGATCAATAATATTAAGTTATATATGTGTGGTATTATTACTTTGGTAAATATATATATCGTTGAAAGTAACTTTATACCTACCTTCAGTTTCTCGAATATCCACAACCTTTCTAATAGTACTAAGGGATAACATTTTTATATGCTTATATGGTTTTCCTTGGCTTAATTTTGCAGAATGTAATCCATTTGCAGTATTAGGACTTTTTAATGAGTTGAAAGCTTTTGATCTTTTCTTACAAATTTCTAGAATATCCGTAAAGAGAAATAGAACCAAATGATCGCCACGACCACTTAGACCTTCACTGAGTTCCATTACGTCGCATTTTCCAATAAAAGATCTATGCGAGGATACTAAATGTGGTGGGCAATTGTCAATTTCGTTAAAGATATCAAACATTGCCAATTGGCCTTCTGTTTTTCGTTTATCCTCGTTAATATAAGTCATAACTTCTTTAATACTGCTAATTGATAACTCCAACGCACTATAATCCGGATTACTTTTACTTGTGTGCTTAAGGATATCTATGAAATTTATTTTTAAGAAACATATGAATCATTCTATAATCAATACATTACATAAAGATTCTATTATATTTTGATTTGCTTTGCTTACCATTTAATAATAAACTAATACTGGGTAACCTCTGTACTGGCTTTATTAAGAGTTCTTTCAAACTTTGCCTGCCACACTCAGGTTTAGTCTGGCAGATCTTCAAAAAAGCATGAAAACGTGGCTTGTTTTGATCACATTGGTCTAGCATTTCCTTTGTATTTTCGAAGAAATTGACGTACGGAGGATATGCCTTGACTAGGTCAGGTGCAAACTTCAGAAATATATTACCTATACTAACATCTTCTGTCCAATAAGTAGCGCTATAACGTAGCTCTTCTAACATCTTCTTATGGACCTCATAAATTGGTGGAAAGTTACCAAAAATAATTTTAACTTCTGTACTATTCACTAATTCACCACTACTTTCTATAAGGTCCTCCAATGGTGATTTAAATAACTATATAAAAAGAAAACTTTTTATATAAATACGTAATGTGTCTCATTGTTATAATTAAATTTATAGATTATTTGCTTACCGTCATAATTGTGCTCAAAATACCAACATAATTAGATTCTGTCTGCACTAATTCAAGAAAAACTTGATGACGTGGGGATCGATTTTTCCTACTACTCTCTGCATTAACAGCTTCTACCTCTGGAATATCTGTCAGTTATTAATAAAGTAATTCATTGAACTCTTCCCCTCTCACATGGTTCATATAATAATAAAATTAAAAAGTATTGTTATATATAACATGTTACAATGTTATTGATTTTATTCTAATTTTCTACTTTTGATAATATTAGTAGACAAATACTGTGACATGAAAATATGCAAAGTCATTGATTTGATTATATAAGTTAAATGAACCATAAGTAAAGGGAAGAAACAATTTGTTTAATTATCAAATTAAAATCCATGCAAATATGTAGTTAAATTATATATTTAAATTTTATAATAAAAAAAAAAAAAAAAAGAAATATTAGTAAATTATTAATTTAATTAGAGTATGATTAGCCCAATAAAATTATAAATTACTCACCATCGAGCAATTGTTTATCAGGACTCGCTGTGCAATCAAGAAAACTACCACTCACACTTAGATGCCCAGCATCACTGACGCTAGATCGTCTTTTGTGCACAGCTGGCGAGTCTGTTCCATTTTGAACCAAACTAGATAGAGTTTCAGCAAGACGTTTACGTTTTCGTCTTGTGGATGCTGTACTTGGTGTAGCTGTCTGCTGACTATCTCGTCTGACTGATGCAGTTGGTGATAGCACTGATTCTAGATACTAAATGTAAAATAAACTATTAAAAACAAACGCTGTATACTGATCCAGTTTTACTTACATTCTCAAATAAATAGTCTTTTTCGTCAGCTGCTCCTTCATCCTGAACAGATGTCCAAAACCATTCCGCTTTTACAACATGAGCTTTTACAGACGCTAAATCAGGCAGTGTATTTACATTTGATTCATCCACAACCTATAACAAATTACAATAACTAATATTTTCATTTATATTTTAACATATATCTAATTTAATACTTATAACATATATGTTTTATATATAACTTTATATTATTGTTAATTTACATGCTTCAGACATACACAGACAAAAAAATTACTGATTAGTGTTATAATATACGTATATTATAATTTTATATTTTTAAATATTAGATGTCCCATTTAGAAGACTAATAATTATTTAATATTCCATATGTGGAAAATACATATTTTACACACACACACACACACGTGCGCACGCACGCACGCACGCACATATATATAGTAGATTATGGATAAACTGCTTATAATAAGATAGAAATATGTATTAGAAGCTACTTATATCTTCTACATAAAGAAACTATTGTATTTACGTGATATTATGTAATATTAATTAGAGAGTTTGAATTTTTATATATGAATATTCGATTATCATAAACTTACAACATTTAACCAATTCACCCATGACTTCTACAATCTATACAAGTTAAATAACTTGGAATACTTTGTAATAAAAACAAAAGTACCACAAGTAATGATTCGTCCTCCTGTTTCTTCGTCTTTGCATCTTTCAATATAGAAGACTTGAAAGGATAGTTTGAAATTTTTCCTTGTTGTTCAAAGTCACTTGTCGGTATATGTTTAGACTGTGATAATTTTGCTATCTTTGCGGGAATAATAGGAGAGCTAGGTAATGGTGTATACTTCTGTCTAGGTTGACTCTGTTCTATAGTCGAATTTAACACATATTTTCTTAACATTGGAGAAAAGTTTAAATCACGAAATTTCGAAAATATTGTTGGACTTTTTTTCGGCGAATAAAAACATTTTTTATTCTTTTTGTTAGGAATAAGTGAATCATATAAAAGAGAATCATTAAGATCGGAATCATGTTGCCTAAAAAGATTAGGATAAGAACAAATTTTTCTAAAATGTGATCTATTTGAAGATGCCCCTTTATAAATTGTATTGCAAGACTTAGACTTTGTCCAGTTTCTGTACCGTCTTTTTTTTACCTTTTTATTTAAAATTGTAAAATGATCAAACTGAATTGATTGATAAGGTTCTACTTCTTCGATAACTTCAGGTACACATACAAGTAACTTTGTTTTATTCTTGTTTAATGTAGAAGATCTAAAGTATACTGATTTGTTCTCCAAATTTTTAAAATTTTCTTTTATCGTATTTTGGTTTGCAGACAATTCTGTTTTAAAAATGGCATCCTCTGTATTGGGATCGCATGCTATTTTATATATTACTGGCAAACTAAAAGAACGTATCTTTTTAAAGGTATGTGAACTTGTAGTTATCTCCAGACCATCTTTACTAGATACAGACATATCAATACCTGAATCAGTTTGCATTGATGAAAAAGACTCAGAAGAGATAGTGTCAGATTGAGAAGACAAAGTTTGAGTATCAGAAAAATTATCATCCATACAAATATCTGAATCTTGATTAATATTTTCTGAAATATAGTTTTCTTTCATATCAAAGTATTTACGTGTAGAAGAAAGATTAGATGAAGGTATCCATCTGTTATGTTTACTTTCAGATTGAATAATATTCTTGTTATTTAGTATATAATATGCAGAGTCAATTGGCATAATGTTAGGGATAGCATTAATATATGGATTATAAAAAATAAAGGAAAATGGACTAAAGTCTGTTGGATATGAAGAAGTGACATTAGATGAATTTGTTTTATATAGTAATCCGTTATTTTCAGTGTTGGATTTCTTGTTTTGTTGACTGCCTAAATCTGTTACCTATAGGATATAGTGTATTTTTTATGTAATAATGTTGTAAGTCATTCATTAGTATAATTTATTAATAAATTGATTATATATATGATCTCTGATATATTTAATGAAACATATGATTTTAAATGATTGGCTTTTGTTATTGCACTCTTATTTAGTATAGCTTTTGTTTAATTAATTCCTATCTTTCTATGTATATTAGAAGCTTATAAAATTATAAAATTTATTCCATAAACTTACTACGTGAGTACAATTAGGGTCGTCAATTTCTGTTGCCTCGCCACCTTGTTGTTGTAACACTTCACACATATGTTTCTTTTCTTCTTCAGGAAAACCAAAGAAACACACTCTTGCACCAAAAAATGGTTTTAGTTTATGAGCTGTTATCTATATGTAAACAATAAATGATGATTATTCTGTATCATATAATAAAAATATTATATGCATTTATTATATGAAATTTACCAATTCTTCATTATTTCCATAACTGGAAACGTCATCTCTAGTACTCCAGAGTGTAGTCACCCAACTCATTGACATAATAGGTACTCTAAATATAACAGCATATCTATACTTATCACCACCACAACAATTAGCAATAAGATGCGTCACTTTTGTACCCATTTCTTTTCGGATACTACCACCCATATTATGTATCATATTGATGAGTCTCGTCTATAGAATATAAATATTATTATATTTACAATGTAAATATAAATTGAGATTAGATATATAAAACTCACCAACTCATCTTTTTTTCTAAATCCAGTGAAAACAACAACCGATCCAACCATGGCTTGTGTGTACATTGGTCTTTTAATACTAGGTAATGAGTCCTTCTTTTCTGCCAACTGCAAAAGTGCTGTTGGTCCCAATATCCTAAAAATATATTTCATTAAAATACTTTTTTTTAAAGTAAAAAAAATAAAGTATAACATATTTCAAGAGGAAAAAATATATGTTATTTTCGAGTGATTACACAAATTGATAATAATCATACAAATGTATAAGAAAGATTAAGTATATGATAAATACTTGTACCTATGGGCACTTTTATGAAGAGCATCATATTCAGGTCCCTCAAATTCTTTGAGTATAAAATAAGTGCAATATGCAGTATCTTCTATATATTCCACGCCTGTTTCCGATTTCAATACTGGAACACTAAATTGTTGCGCAGCAGCGCCCAGAGCAGGATCATCACCAGCAGTACCGACCAAACATATTCTCTTCTTACGTGGTATCACTAGAGCTACAGAAAACAAAACAAAAAATTTATTTATCTTTATTTTTCAATTTGAAACAAAAAAAGAAACAATCTACATTGATATATACAAGTATTTTGGAATTTGAAAGTTCAAGAAAGGGCTGAGATTTCGAAATATGACACAATTTTTATAGAATTATTCATAAAATATAATAACTATATTACATTAGTTACTATGTAACATTATCATGGAAAGCGACATTTTTTTCAGGGATAATTCTCAAAAACATCTTAAGATGTTAGATTAATTCTATTCTATATTTAATTAACAAATTTAACAAATTAACTATATTTAAAAACAAAGATAAAGAATTTGATGTAATAGAAATATAGAATTAGAACAATTATTTTGTAATATCACACTTATTATAACAATATAATCCTTAACCATAAATTCATGAAAGGATTTTAAGTATTCTCTATTATAGAAAATCTATTATTCTTTGCTTAATCTCCTCATACAATGGATCAAATCATTAAATAACTTTATGATTCATTCAAGGATTATAGTATCGGTACATTTTGTGACACGTTAACATGTCAGAATTAGGTATAAAGGACAAGGTAATAAAACTATATTGTCCTCTGTACCTTTTTCAAAATTTTATATACAAAGACAAATTTGTATATTTTAACAAAGTATTATACAAACAAAATATTTATTAAGAAGTATATGTTTTAATTAATTCTTATCATTAATATTAATATAAAAAAAATAAATAAAAAAAGTGATGCATAATAGAAAAATAAATAAATTTAAATATTTCCTTGATACTTTAACTAAATTAACAAAAAAGATAATAAAAAAAAAGATAACAAAAACAACAACAATAACAACAATGATAATAATAATAATAATAATAATAATAATAATAATAATTATTATTATTATTATTATAATATATTACATTTTTCTTTTTTCTTTTTTCTTTTTTCTTTCTTATCCTCTGAACGTAAGTTAAAAATGTGTAAATAATAATCGGTAAGAGTTTATAAATAAGATAGGAACGAAGATAAGCCAATATTGTTGGAGGGATGAGTAAATACATACATCGACCCATTCGATAGAGGAAACATATAAGGATATATTCATCAGTAAGAAAATCGTTCGACTCTGACGTAATTTTGGAGAATAAGTCAAGGCCAAAGTAGGGAGTAGCAAAATCGTGAAATATTTGATCGGTTGGTTGCTCGCTAATCCTCTATACATAAGTCATCTAATGTTCAGATCTCTAAGAAAAAGTATCTATGCTCGCGTATCTTTCACGGAAGAAAGGAGATGACAGATACAAGACGCGAACGAGAGCAAGAAAGATAGAGAGAGAGAAAAAGAGAGAGAAACACATATACAGACGAACACACTTATGTACGAAGAAAATAGAGATACGGAGGATCAAGTGAGTGAGTGAGGTAGGGTTAGTTCATACAGGTGCTTGCATATTTGCAAAATGAAAATGGACTCGCGTGTTCATCATTAAAATGATAGAAACGAAGGTTATTTTGGTAGAAAACATTCATTTGAAAATACATGCTCCGAAATTCGTTGAAACTTACTCTCACTTCTAACGGCCTCCTCACTATTTATATCACTGATACTGCTGTGAACGCTTTGCTCTTCCATTTTGGCCGTTTATTAACGCATCGGTTCGTTCGTAGGTTCCTCTTTGTACATAAGGGAAAAGAGCTTTACCTGTGTGATGAGAATTTTAACGAAAAAAAAAAAAAAAAAAAAAAAAAAAAAAAAAAAAAAAACAAATAAAAAAAGAAAGAAAAATAATTCTTGGGCACAAAACTCCAAGCGACACTTTCTTCTCTCTATGTTCTCTACCTCTTTCTCTGTCGCACGCAACACGAATTATTTAAAATCCATTGTGATTACGGCACGAGTGCCGTCCGCACTGCTTTTCCACCGATTTCAACCTCAAAGTCATGGAATCGCGCACTCGATCCTATTTACCAGCAGCGCTCAGACGATTTATCTCCGTCTTTTTCTTTCTTTCTCTCTATATATCTATATTCCTTTCTCTCTCTCTATCTCTTTATCTCTCTCTCTTTCTCTCTCTCTCTCTCTCTCTCTCTCTCTCTCTTAATATACACTCTTAAGTACACTCTTTCTTTCTTTATCTCACTCTAACTTATATGTTCCTTATCTTTCCGTTTGTCGTTTAACGTTCACTATACTTTTCGCTGTATGTGCTAAAGTTCGATCTTGCTTCTCTCACTCTCTCACTCACTCTTTCACTCACTCACTCACTCTTTCACTCACTCACTCACTCTCTCTCTCTTTCTTTCTCTCTCCCTTTCTCACATTGTCACAACACGCGTAGCAATTGATAAAAGCACAATTCACTTTCAACCAATCAGATCATATCTTTCACGGCGCGATATAAATATGAAAGAATAAAACGTTGATCCGATCTGATATTTGATTCGACGATTACGTTCGATTGAAAATACGATATATATATATCTTTTTTTTTCTCTTTCTCTCTCTCTAACGACGTATCATCTCATGTTTATAGGTGTTAGAGAGATCACGTGAGTTTTTCATTTTTTGTTTTGCGATACGTGAAACGATTGAAAATAAGAACGAAGGACAATGGTTGGTACTGCGTGACTAGCGTCGAACGTTACCCGCCTTTCTTTTGGTCAAAGATCTGAAGTGAAGTTGGTCACGTGTCAAAAACAATTGATGCTAGCGTGTTTTTTGTTTTAAGGATCTTCTAATCTTTTCTTTTTATTTTTTTTTATTTTTTATTTAATCGCGTTTATTCTATCATATATATATACACACACGAAAGTAACATTTGTATTATTATGTTTACAATTGCCGTGATAAAATTGGATTTGAATGATCTTTATGGGTTTAGTGTAGTCGCCATATGACTCCATGGTGTTAATGTCTACGCAAATTTAACTATGGTAGAATGTAATGTTATTAAACGATTTTTCTTCTTTTTTTTTTACGTAAGTATAGTGAAACGCATAATTATTATTGTGATATTTTTTAATTTTACGTACGAGTTAATATTTCTTGAAAAATTTGATTTGTATGAATTTCTTTTTTAAAATTCGCGCGGAATATTCGATTAATGGCGGGCTCATTGACTAAAGAACGAATACGAAATCGTTTCAAAATTTCTTTTTTCTTACCTACATAGTAATTTTATTTATTAACAAATAATTATGATGTCATTAATTGTTCTTCGATGTAGGTATAGTGAAATATGTAACTATTATTGAATGAAATGTGTAATTGTTATCGTGATATTTATTAATTTTATGCATTCTTAAAAAATGTGATTTTGGTGAATTTCATTTTTGAAATTCGCGCGGAATGTTAAGCCCAATAGCGTGCTCATTGAGTTTGAAAAAACGAATATGAAATTGTACAAAAAAGTTTTTTTTTCTATTATTAACAACATTTTACTGATTTTTGATATTATGAAATGTACATTAAATGGTTTCAGAAATATTTATTTCTTATTTTTAGTATAATAATAAACATCAATTCAAACTTCTTGTTACGATTTCTTTTGTTAGGAAAACTATATTATTTTAAAATTTGCAATGATAAATTTTATATAACAATAAAAAATTGTTTTTCTTTAAAAAGACATAACTTTTATTAGATATATACTTATATATCATAATAAATATCAAAATACATGTTACCATAAATATTGTTATTACAAAAATAATTTGTAATATCAAAAGAAATAAGAACTATATATGTTTTAATATAAATAAATATTCATTAATTGTATTCAATAAATTTCTTCAATAAACATCTGCATTTCCCAAAAAGAGAGAAAGAGAGAGAGAAAGAGAGAGAGAAAGAGAGAGAGAAAGAGAGAAAGAGAGAGAGAGAGAGAGAGAGAGAGGGAGGTTATGTTATTACATATGTATATCTAATTTTTTCTAATATAATTATTCATACATCAACCAAATCACATATATACAAATAGAATGTATCTGCAACAAGTGATGCATATGTAAATGTAAATATAATAAATTCGATTTGAATTGTATGTTAAAATGGCAAGTTATATATCGTTGTCTTTGTTTAACTCATGTCTTTATCCATAAGGTAAGAAGAAGACACTAAATCGAGTTTAAACATATGTATTCTGAATTCGATAATACGTCGAAGGACTATGGAAGATAAAGAAGCTCGTTTAATCCGGTGTAAAATAATAACAGTTAAGTACGTGGTTGTCATTAATTCGGTGATTTGTTAGCAATAATGCGTAAAAAACTATCACAATACGCCCACACGTCTGTTAAGTGCCGATAACACGTTTACGACAGATCTTCATATTAAAACCGCATGTACAAAACTAGTACACGTTTACAATATGAGTATTCTTCGAAAGAAGTAAGTTATTTTTTTATTGTATACAAATTTTTATGTTATATGTATATTATTTTTGAAGATTTTTGATCGTACTAATGTATACTGATAATTTTTATATTTTAGGTTAAACGACTTCGATGATGTTCTCATTGCCGATGAGATTGATTTAATAAGTTTACGTCGAATATGTTTTCATGGTTTGTTATATCTTTATAACATACTTCTGAAATTATCTTATACATTATCTTATTATCTTACTTTTGTTCGTGTTCTCCTGTTTTTTGTCTTTGTCAATTTAAATATTATTTGTTTATTTGTAGGAATACCGGATGAAGGTGGCTTGAGACCATTATGTTGGAAACTTCTGTTGAATTATTTACCTCCAAACAGAGTTAGTTGGTCTGAAACACTAACGCGCAAGAGGGAACTTTACAAAACATTTATTGGTTAAATAATATAATTTAAAATAATGATGTTAAAGTGTAAAAACGGAGCTTTTACATAGGATATTACTTACAGAGGATCTTATCGTAACTCCGGGGGAGACTAATGTGGATGGGGAAAGAGTGGATGTAACATTACACGATCATCCTTTAAATTTGAATCCAGATAGCAAGTGGCAAACATATTTTAAAGATAATGAAGTTTTGTTACAAATAGATAAAGACGTTAGGTGAGTTGTTTAATTAGAATATTCTTTTTTATACTTATTCATTTAATATATATTTATTTACAGGAGATTATGTCCAGATATATCGTTCTTCCAGCAAGGTACTGATTATCCTTGTCAAGAAATAGTCAATGATAGTGGACAAAAACGTTTACATCACAGAGTACAGCATACAGTTCTCAGAAGTGCCAATGTAGAGAGAAAAGGACTTGGAGTGACTAAAGTATGTATAAAACAATTATAATATTCTTCTATTATGTAATGATGTTTGAAAATTAATAATTGTTATATATATGTGCTACTTTGGAAAGCAGCAGGTATCGTATAAATAATCTCTTATACGTTATTTTATAAATTATACAATGTATCACATGTAACCTTATTTTTAGATAGCAGTATCCGTTAGGAAAGCTGCAGAAGATTATGCACCATTAGCCGAAGGTGGAGAGGCTCATTGGGAAGTCTTAGAGAGAATATTGTTCCTATATGCAAAATTGAATCCTGGGCAAGGGTACGTACAGGGTATGAACGAAATCGTTGGTCCTATTTATCATACATTTGCTTGTGATCCAGATCAAAAATGGCGAGGTAATTTTTCAATACATAGATTAATTTTATTAAATCACTTTAATATTATATTTATTATCCTATATATTTTATTTTACAGAACATGCTGAGGCTGATACTTTTTTTTGCTTCACTAATTTGATGGGAGAGATACGTGACTTTTTCATTAAATCTTTAGATGAAGCAGAATTTGGTATAAATTCGATGATGAGTAAATTGACTTTGCAAGTTAAGGCCAATGATCCTGAGATTTGGATACGACTGCATCAACAAGAGTTATGTCCCCAGTATTACAGCTTTAGGTATTTTGTTTTATAAATAAAATGATTATTTTGAGTATCGTTACATTTTAATAATGATAACTATTGTTGGTTACATAGTTCTCTGTTTTATTAATATTTTGTGTCGGTATTTTATCGAGATTTTTGTTGGATATCTTATCGGTACTTTTTTAAATATATTTATCGATTTGTCGATAATTTATCGACATTTTCGTCAATGCTTTATCGTAAACTTATCTTTTTTTTTTTTAGATGGCTCACTCTTCTTCTTTCGCAAGAATTTCCATTACCTGATGTCATGAGAATTTGGGATTCCCTTTTTGCCGATGAAAGTAGATTCAGTTTTTTGATACATATATGTTGTGCAATGATTCTGTAAGTATACAGAAATTATTAAAATTCTTATCGTACAAATATTTATGAATATATTTTTCTTATTTATGAAATTACATGTTACAGATTATTGCGGGACCAACTTTTAGCTGGTGATTTTGCAACGAATGTAAAGCTCTTGCAAGTAAGATGTAGTATTTAATAGAATAATAATAATAGAAAGAAAATAAAAAATATACATTTGCATATAATAAAAATTGTTGACGATAGTATAAAATTTAAGAAAAAAAAAAAAAAATGAAAGATAGATGATTTAACTCTTTATTGTCGATTTTTTAGAATTTTCCATCGATGGACATTCAAATTGTGCTTTCCAAAGCAGCTTCATTGGCTGGGAAGACATTAAATTCTCCATAACGAATTTTAAGCCTAATACTCTCGTGAATACGTGATTAGTTTCAGGTAAAACAACGAGACGTTTTTTCTATCAAATTGTTTCTTCCTATATTCTTGTTAATTATATTGTTATATGCCGACTATGTATATATACATATACACACATATACATACACATATTCAGTAATACGAAAATTATGATCGTTTGAAGAAATTAAACCGAAGAACTCCTTGAACGAGATATATAATATACATATATATAATTTATATATGTATATAAAATGAATCATTTTATTCGATTGGAAAGATGATTATAAAAAGTCAGATATTTACGTTTAGAGCATTGTGCGATTAATCGCGACGTCTCTGTCCATGGAAATCATCTAATAATGAAATAAGAATAGTGATACGTCAAGAAATGTTGTTTTATAATAATCTGAAAACGAACGTTATACTGACACGTTATCAATGGTCTAATCTTGTATACATTTTTCTATAACGATTAGACTACAGTAGAAGATATTGCCATGTGCGCGTGCAATAAGTACGTAATGCGTTTCATCGGAATATTATATTTTGTACGTCTTATTTTTCTAATGATCTGTGGTCATTCGTCCTACGTTTATAAAATAAACAATGTTATATTTGCATTATCGCGTTATATTCTTTTTAGTTCCCATTAAGTCACCTTTGGAAATTCATATCCAATGAGCTGCTGCTGATTTAACTTAACATTTATAAAAATGTAAAAATTTGACTTCACTATCTTGTTTTCTTTTTACGTTTCTTTTTTTTTACATTTATATAGATAACGATTCAAATATTTTCTAAATATAATTTTTAACTCTAGGTCATATATTTATTAATTACTCGAACACTATCTCTATTTTCATAATTATTGGCATTATATTAAATTCGATCGACTTTCATAATATCTAACTGACCATCATTTTGAGAACTTAGTCAACTTTCATAATCACTAGCACAATCGACAAATTTCGAAGAAATTTTCTGAAAGGAATACGTTGAGTCGCATTCCAAAAATAAAGGGAAAAAAAGAAAAAAAAAAGCAAAAGAAAAAGAAAAAAATTCAGTCCAAGTTAATAACATTGAAGTGCGTCATCGGGGTATGTATGGTTTACTGTACGTATATCTATTGTTGCTCGTACGCAGAGAACAAAATACGTGTCTCGCATCAGTCACAATGGCCGTTGACAGGAGTATAGGTCGATCGTTATTGGATTAATAAACTCTCCCGGTAGAATTCGCGAGTGGAATAAATCGCAAATCCAGGATTTCATTTCGTTTTCGTCTCATCTCGCGGAATACGGTGACGAGCGTAACCACACTGTCGTTGAATACAAATCAGCATACCTATCACTCATCGTTCTTTCACGTACGTATTTACAAGCTTAACAACACTCCGACGAATACAAAATTCGTTACTATTCATTCACAAAAAGTATCCGAAATGATGGCGATGAATTTGATAAAATGGCGGAGAAAAATTTTGTCAAAAATGTGGATGAGAAATTTTTATTAATAGTTGTATCAATGATGTTAAAAATATTGGTAAGCGAGTGGTTGGAGAACAAAGGGATAGGGAGGGGATGGAAGTAGAAAGATATTAAGGAACTGTGTATTCAAGTTGTACGTTAGTTATCTCTTTCTCTTTCTCTCTTTTTGTTTTTCATTTTTTATAAAAGAGAAGAAGAAAAAGTAGTGGAAAAAAAAAGAAGAAAAAGTAAAAGAAGAAGAAGAAGAAGATTTGCGCAAGAAGAAACATTCGCTTTCTCGCTCTTGCAATGATCGCTGATTTATGACGCATTGTGCGTTCAAAGTCCTCGATTATATATGCGAGAATTTAACCATCGGCAACAATGGCCGCCAGGCCCTGATTCCCTTTTATCGCGATGCACCCTTCGCGGTTTTAGTTGGGGCAACAATCGAGGTCTCCGTCTCTTTTCTTCTTCTCTTCTGCTCACCCCCTCCCCCAACAATAGCAGCACTAACAGTAACAGTAACAGCAGCAGCAGCAGCAGCAGCAGCAATCGTTACACAGCGGCCCTTCTAAAATCGCGGACAACCGTAGAGAAGAGAACTCTGGTACCTTTCGCAACCCGAAAATAGAGGCATAATAAAAAATGAAAGTGCCCTTTAAAAGTTGTTCGCAACGATTACCGGAAAAAAGTCGAGGCGCGATCGCGTGGGCGGACATTTATGGCGGTTGATTGCTTGATTTATAATCTCAGTTTGGAGCACCGGATGGCTGTTAACTTGGTCGTACCTTTGGGGTGCCGCTGGAGGGCGCGGGGATCGCGTAAATATCTGCGAATCATTTTGCGAAATTTTTTCCCCCACTTTAACCTCTCCGCCCTACCGCTTGTCTCTCTCTCTCTCTCTCTCTCTCTCTTCTCGCTCTCTCGCTCTCTCGTTCTCTTGCTCTCTTGCTCTTCTTTCCTTACCTTCATCTTGGCCAATCAAACTTTCATTAAGGATGCCGCCTGAGTCTTTTTACTCTGTCAGATGGGACAAAAACTAGACGACATTGCCTACCGTAAACACGCCTCTGTCATTAAAAAGGTTGATCCTTTTCCTGTGATATTCAACGATGTTCTTTTTCTTAATACCCCCGTAGGCTCCTGATTTTTGGCTAATCAGAGATCGAGGATTTTATGAGAGATGATGTTAGGTCGATTGTTATGGAATATTCCAAGGCGGCTACCAATATGGCTGCTTTGGTATCTTTGGAAGCCAACTCGTAAACAAAATTTGATTTTTGATGACAATAATTTTTGATTAACAACTACAAATTGTACCTATATATGTTTTTACGCACAGATACTTTTACAGATAGATAACTATTTATACGATCATTCAGTTTATTCGAAATTTCACAAAATTCATGGAGAACATGTATGGCTGACGTTGTATTTTAAAAATATTTTAAAAAGATTTGATTATTCGACAAAATCATTATCAGTATTAACAAGAAAATCAAAGTTTATGTAAATAACTATCGTCTTATATATTATATAATACTTGTATATTATACGATTATTTTAGTAAAGAATATAATCTAAAAAATGTCTACTAATAAAAAAAATTTTAATTTTATCGTATATAATCTAAATGTACATATATAGATACATAATATACATACATACATTTGATTATCGTTCATAACGTATTTTCGTTCTTCTCATTTTTCTATTTATCGATTCGATAAAATACGCAATGAAAGAAAGCATATCAAACAGAGAAAATACACAGAAAGATGGACGAATGTGTGTATGTGTGTCTCGAGACGTAACGAAATCCTCAGTCCCTTTGGTCTACGCCCTAAAGTTTAGCGATCTCTAATGAACTGCCGGCCCGCTCCGTTAGTTATCCTGAGTCCGTTGGCCACCGTCGATGTAGTGTATTATATAGGTGGTACGTGCGCTAGTCATGTAACAGTATACATGTAGCAGAATGAAGACCAGTTAAAGAGAGAGAGAGAGACAGAGAGTGAGAGAGAGACAGACAGGGGGTGCGGTGGGATAGGGAGGGCGTTGAAACACGAACCATGTACATACAACATACGTCTATACGTACTATACGCACATAGTAATACATAGAAATACATATACATACTCCTACTAAATACAAATAAATCCCGTTAGCCGTTTCTCGTTTTAGAGATACTGGATGGGTGGTGCAAAGCCGAATTTTCCTTGGCACTGTAGCTCCTAGCATCTGCGAGTATTTGCGCCCATTGCTAGCTTTGTAACAAGCATGTTCCTAACCTCACTTTCTTTCTATCTTTTTCTTTCTCTTTCTCTTTCTCTCTTTTTTCTCACTGTAGTCAATATGGTATTGTACAAAGGACGATACACGATCCTTGGTAAGATATTTACATTTTTACGGGATTACATCGATGCCAAAAGGGAAAGGGAAAGGACTACTGCTACTACAGCGACGATCATCCTTCTGCCGAAGGGGAGAATTAAGGTTGAACAGTTACAACTGTAATAATAGAGTACTTCGTTCAAAGAAGGGTGGGTTACGATCGACAGAACGCGCGTAACACCACCCTCGATACTTGCGTATGCGTACAGGATGAAGGGTAGGTACCATGTCTTGTTTTTTTTCTTAATCCTTACACGAGAACTTGCTGGTAGAATGCTTAATACGAATGATTTTTTATCCGATTTTTCTACGGGGATTGTCATGTTGGTTTAATTTGTTAAAATTTTATATACATGTGGCGGTATATTTTAAAATCTTTTTTCTTTTTATCTTTTTTTTTTTTTTAATTAAACGAACGCCATTATTATTATTATTATTACTATTATTACTATTATTATTATTAGGATTATGATCATAGACTTGTGATAGGCTTTATGATCATTTAAAAAATAGTTTTATTACAAATTACATTATCTTTATAAAAAATTGATATATATATATATATATTTATTATATGTATAGTAATAATATATATATATATATAGTAATATATATATATATATATATAGTAATATATATATATATATACTATAGTAATATATATATATATATTTATTATATGTATAGTATATTTATTATATGTTAGTATTTATTATATATATATATATAATATATATATATTATATATATATATATATATATTATATATATATATATATATATTATATATATATATATTATATATATATATAATAAATACAAAATATAATAATAAAGACAATAATAATAATAAAATTGCTTCTTTAATTTAAATAAAAAGTATAAAACTATATAATCGATAATAAAATTTATATATAGTTTAAATTATTTAAATGCAATTCATTCGTTATATGGATAGAAAATTTTTTTTTCTTCGAATTAATCATTAATTGATTATTACATTTGTTTTTAAATCAAATACAATTTGTTTTTAAATCATTTCTTGAGAAATTTTTGTATATTTTTCTAACTCAATGATCTAATTTAAATTATCTAGAAGTAATATGTTTGCCTTAGACAGACCCGATTTGCCAAATTCAAATAAATAAAAAAGTTGAAATATTAAAAAGAGATTTTATATATATATATATATATATATATATGTTTGTGTACTTAT